GTCTGTTAATGTTTTCCTCCTTTTATTTTTAAAATAAAAATAAAACTAAATTACGTGCTACAGCCTTGGGTTAATTGTAGTTTTCTGTTCATGGCCCTCAAGGACTGTAGGAGCCCACCTGGCCCTTCTGACTTTCTTTTTTTAACATTTTTTAAAATCTTTTATTAGTATATGTTTTTAGTACATGCGTTTTACAATCATCTTGAAGATTGGTTACATGAGCATGGTATGGCTTTTTTTAATCTTCTTCCCCTTCTTTTCCCCCCACCTCCTCCTCTAATTCACCTTCCCCCATTTTCATTCTTCTTGACATATTTAAATTTAGTTCATGTTTATGGCATATAATTTTTCCATTCATTGAAGTTATTAGGACCCTGTACATGGCTTATCTTTATTCTATGTATTTCCCCCATTCCCTTCCCATCCTTGGTCCCTTGGATCCTTTCCAATTTTCAAGAAATCATTCCCTTGTCTCTTTCTTTTCCTCCTTTAATATTCTCTTTGTTTTGACCATGCCTTATTCAAATGAGAGGTCATACACAGTAGTTAAGCTGTGTCTGGTTTATTTCACTCAACATTATGTTTTCCAGGGGAATCCATTATCCTATAAATGTTTCAAATTTGTCTTTCTTTATAATCAAATAGTATTCTATTCAATAAGGATATCACATTTTCTTTATCCAATCATCTGTTGATGGACATAAAAGATGCTCCCAGCTGGGTATAAAAGCTGGATAGTTAGCTACTATAAATTGTGCTGCTATAAATATTGGCATGAATGTATCACTGTTTTAAGCTCTTTGGGTAAGATACCTACAAGGAGGATAGCTGATCGCATGGAATTTCTAATTTTAGTTATTTTGGGAAATCTCCTTACTAATTTCCATAATAGTTGTTCTAGTGTGCACTCCCACCAACGATGTAAGAGGGTCCATTTTCACCACAGCCACGCCAACATTTGTTATTGTTTGACTTCTTCATGATTGCCAGTCTTTCTGGAGCAAGATGAAATCTCAGCATTATTTTAATTTGCATTTATCTAATGGCCAGAAATGTTGAACATTTTTTCATATATTAGTTGGCCATTTATAACACTTCTGTGAACTGTTTGTTCATTTCCCCTCCCCATTTCTTGAGTGGGTCTTTAATGTTAGATGGTGTAATACTTTCTGAGTTCTTAATCTATTTTAGATATTAGTCCTCTGTCTAAAACTGTTGCCTTCTGACTTTCTGACACCATCTCATGAATACCTCTAACTTCCTGCACTCTGAAACTTTACCAAGCTTGGGTGTATCATCTGCTTTTTTGAAAACCCGGTTCACACACAGTAAAATGATGGGATTACACCAGAATAGGCCTCCCTTTTGGCTCAGCCTTGAAAAGAATCCCATAATCTTGACTTTTTTTTTTTTTTTTTTTTTCCTCTATATTTTCATGATTCTCTCTTTTTGAGAACCCCTTGTTTTTTTTTTTTTTTTTTTTGCTAATCAAATTTTCAACTGTGACACGATCATTGATTCGTGGCCAAGATTCTCTACAGGTCCTGGATTGAGATTCAGCCAGACCCATGGAGTGAAGAAGTTTCAAGCATATTCTGTTGTCCGTTGAGTCTGACAGACTGCTCTGACAGAGTAGTAAGAAGAAAACTGTCTGCTTGTGTGTCTTCTCTGTTCTGATGGGACCCTGACTGGCCTGAGGGCAAGTGGCTGTCATGAATAATCTGGGAAGAGGCTGTGGGAAGACCCAAAGCACCCCTAGGAAAAAGAGGGGAGGTATTTTCTCGGAGAAAGGAAATAGAGCTGAAGAAGGTGAGAGGACCTCTCCTGGGGCAATGTGCTGTCACCAGCACCAGAAAGTGGAGCTCATGTGTGCAGAACAGCTTCTGTATCCTACGCTGGCAAATCAGTTTCACTGGTCTTCCTGTCACCTTCTGCTGTAGCTTTCTGCATAGGGCAGATTTTGCAATGACTCCCTGACCTCCACTTGTGCTCTTACAACCTGTGTGGTTCCCTGTGAGTAAGACCCATGATTTCCTTCTCATGAGACCTGACAAAGGTAACAAATTCGATGAGACTGGTGTTCCTGATTATATTACACTGATTGTATTAGATCTGCTGGCCACTGGGTCTCAGCTGTCTCTGTTGCTGCTTTAAGGAATTAGTCGCCATTTAAAGTCATGTGATGTGACACTGTGAGTGTCCATTAAAACTCAGGGTAGAGACCTCTGACCAGTGTCTAACAGGACACTGATGACTTCAGTCTCCAATCTGAAGAAAGTATATTCTACAGACCAATGTGATAACTTTTGATGCACAGTCTTTCCATTGGAGCCTCAAGGGTAACTGCATCCAACACCATGATGACATGTCCCACGGATCCATAAGAGCCCATCTAAGCTATGTGCAGACCCCTGTCCCTTTCAAACTATGAGGTACTACATGTGTGCTGATACCCTAGACTATTTGCAGTGCTATTGTTAGGTGAAAACAGAAAATTGATAACCCCTGCTCTCAAAGATGCTAAAATATAACACATGATCATCATGCCTGCTGAGGTTCCAAGAACCAAGTGCAATTGCCTGTGAAATATTGGTTCTCATCCCAAAGACCAAGGGCCAATGTAGGACCCCTTCGTTGGTCACTCACAGGTGTGTTGGTTCCCAGACAGGCTATGGTTGCACGGATGGGAGAGCATCCAACTTCATCCCTTGGATGGGTCTAGCCAGCAGTGGTGCAAAGGGTTACAACAGCTACATTGTGCAAACATGAGCCTATGAAGCTACTATGGGCCTGACTGTCATGGTGAACAGAGAAACTTTATCCCTGTGAGCAGGGACACTGACATTGACCAGTAAGAGAGTGCTTTGTAAAACTTGGAAGAACATAGAAACTTAACAAAGAAAAAAGCAACACTTCCTCCCTCACAAAATGCACTTTCTGTGTCCCACATAGCATCCAGAGATTAGCTCTGAGAAACTCCCTATGGCAGCCAGAGATTTGCTTTAGGAATTTCTGTTAAAGACTTGGGTCTAGATAAAGCTCCTGGCTCCCCAGAGTTCACTACTTCAGCCCCCTTACCCCTGAGCTGTATATATCTTTGGCAAAAACTCCTCTTTTGCTTCATGCTGGCTTGATTCAAAGCATGATTAGTTGCAGGAACATTTCTCAGACCAACTGGAGGCACTCTGAGCTGCGATGTGACCAGTGACCTTGACCCAGGAATAATGAGGTGACCGCTTCCTTCCAGCAGAGAGATTGATCCAGCAATGCTTAGCCACCATAAATATGGGTCCACCATGGTTGCTGGGATCAGTTATTGGCACTTCATCTGCAGAGACTTTGTGGTTTAAGGCTTCAAGAAAAGTAGAAAGGTATTTCTTCTCCATTGATATTTATTTCTAAGTGTTAGGGAATATAGCTACATGCAAAACAGAATTCTGGTAATACTAAAAGGAAACAAGTTTGTGTTTTCTTGAAGTTAAAGCTAGACAGTTCTTCACTCCCACTTAGCCTCCCTGCCTGGGCCATGGTAGATTAGAATCTACTTCTGTAAAGTAGAACTAAACAAAAACCCAGGCTATGGCAGAGGTATGCTGGCCTCACGCTACTCATGGCGCCAGTGTTACTGTCATAAGCCCTTTATGTAACTGGCTACAGCATTTACAACTTTCTGGGAGCATGAGAAAGAGAAAGGCTGCCTGTCAAATAGAAGTATGCATCCATGAAAGCCATCTTCCACATGGTACCAGCTCACAGGGACCCCTTGGTCTTCCAAGCGCTTCTTGTAGAGCAAGGTGTGATCACGGAGGACATCATGCTCACAGCTCACTAGAAAAGCCTCAGGGAGCTGAGCAATGGTTTGATCATCAGCTAACAGGGGGGAATTTTCTACATCAAACAGATGTTTGGTTTCCAGATAGGCAGACTCATTAAAAGGCCCGGGAAACTGGGGTTCCTTGTATTTGTCCTTAAATCTCTTGGGGATATTGTCAGAGCTGAGCCATTTCCTGTACTTCTTCCAGGTTTCTGGAGGTATGCAAGCACCATTCAGCATGGCATCTTTCCAGGAGAGGTCAATGGCCATATATCTACAAATACACATCAACATGAAGTCTCGGGTGAGGAATGGCACATTTTGGTTCTGCTGTGTGGATGGTAACTGGTAATTGATGGCCTGGATGATTGGATGAATCAGAACTTGAGCCCGGATCTTGGGAAGGTCTTTTCGGTCCACCAAAATCTGGATAATCTGGGCTGCCGTCCCTCCTCCAGCACTTTCCCCACAGATCACGACCCGGGAAGGGTCCACACCATAGGTTTCCAGTCTCTTCAGGAAGTGGATGGTAGTGTTTAGACAGTCCTTGGTAATGACAGGGTAATGGTGATCAGGAAGCTTCCTGTACCTAAGGAGGAAAAAGGGAATGAAGAACAATGCCCAAGTGTGTTACTAAAGGCCATCTGAACAGAGTTTTCTACAACCTTTAGGGGATATTTCCCAATGCATTTTTCGGAACAACCCTAAGAAGTGCTCCGGGCATGCCCTTTGCTCTCCTACGGTAATGTGAAGCACCGGCCCAGAGTCTGGCTATGCAGCTTTCTACATTCTCAGCACATACTTCATTCCCCATGCTTCCTGTGCATACACAAACCCCATACTCACTGAAAGCTATTAGCTTTAGGAAGGGAACAGCAGTAATGATGGGAACACGGAAAGTGAACCTACTGCTCATGCTCACACAGCTGGGGACCACCGTGGTGGAACAGTGTTGAAACAGAAGGCTGGAATGACAAGACAAACTGCTACAATAAAGTATTATACTTTGCAGCAAGGCCTGTTCTAGCAGACCCATCCTGAGACCCCAATAAAGTCACAGAGGCATAATGTTGTCAAAAATCGAGAAATTTTGGTTGGGGATATAGCTCAGTGGCACAGCACCTGCCTGGCAAGAGCAAGGTCCTGAGTTCAATTCCTCATATCCAAAAGAAGGGGTAAATTCTTACCTACAAATAAAATTTAAATAAACTCTCTGGATTCCCTTCTCCTGGGTCTATTTTAAGTGACTAATTTTGGAGGTTATACATCTGGGAAATGCATAGTTCATTTCCCACTAGCTTTCCTATTGACAGCATCTCTAGTGTCTGGATTGTTGCAACAGCTGCCTAGGTCACAACCAGGGATCCGAAGTGTTCTCTTTTGCTAAGGGCACTGACTTTTCCCTTCAGCCTGCAGACTTCCTATGAGAGACTAAAATGGAGAAAAGGCATAGAATTTCTGCCTTCACATTGTGTCTCCTTTGCTGCTTTAATCCACTCTAGAGACAGATTCTCTGCACAGAGACATATTGTTCATTTAAGGACATTTTGGTCAAGAGTATGACACAAGGTGAGCTTGCCTACTGTCTCTTGGAGCTGGTATGGATTTTGCTACCCCATCCTTGTGCTTTTTCAGCAGTCCAGCACTGAAATATCTTTATCCCTATTAGCAGGACTGGATGTTTGTGCAGGATGATGTAAAACTAACTCAGCAGTTCCTAAGCAAAGTTGAACCTCTCTTCACCCATCAAGTACAAGACCAGGACGTTCATACTTGAGAATGAAGCCTACACAAAGAAAACCAACAAGTTGACTGTAACCACCCAGTGGTGCAAGGGTCCAACAAGAAGAATTCTTTTAGTGCTGGGAATTGACACCAGCCCTCACACAAAGCTAAATCTCCAGCAGGTTTTAATTTTAGGTTTGAATCAATGTCTGCCTATGTCACTAACTTGCAAGATAAAATCCAACTTTGGGTCCTCCTGTCTTAGTTTCTCAGAGTGCTAGCTTGGTTACACTCAACAAACTGCTCACTGCTTTCAGTAAAGCCCCAGTTTGGCTACAGCCCCTTGCCCTGTAAACTTTGCCTGCACAAGAGCATGTACACTTGCAGTATTATCCCAGTCTGGCCTCTGTTGTCTTTGGGTCAAAAGATGCAATCCTCAGGTTTCAGTCCCACTACCTGTCAGTATGGGGGGAGGACAGCTAAGACTAAAGTCAAGGTGAAGTAGCTTTCAGCCAGAGAAAGGAAAGCATAGAAGGGAAAGTCTCCCCTTTTTCAGTGGCATCTTAGGCCTCTCCTCCCACATGTCACACACTGTATGGGGTGCTGGTAGACACAAGCTCCTCCTCTGGCTAATCATTCCTCCAATCATTCCATCAGAACTGATGTGACCCACAGGCCCAGTCTGTACAAAGATGTGAAATAAAGATACACTGAGCCCTTTCCTAGATGTCACCCTATAAGATGGAAGATAGGGGCTGGGGATTTAGCTCAGTGGCAAAGCGCCTGCCTGCCAAGTGCAAGGTCGTGAGTTCGGTTCCCGGTACCGGAGAAAAAACAAAAAACAAACAAACAAAAAAAAAAAAGATGGAAGATATCTCAGGGAGCATTCACACTTTCCATGCTTGCTGTTCAAAAGATCTTAATTGTCCCCAAGGTCTTTGGAGACATGGGTTTCAATGGTGCAGTTCAGACACAATGGTGGCCAGTTGTGAATCACTGTATAACGAAAATCTGCTGACCTCTTCATGTGTCCAGGGAGAGCCCGCAGTGTTAATGGTCTGCAGGAATCACACAGCTGCACTCTCTACTCAGCCTGGAAGCAATCAAGGTTAGAGGGGGCCCGATGGACATTCAGACTCTATGTGAAATAATAGAGTGAAATAATAAACTCCCCCCAAAGGGTGCAGTTTTCAGATTCGCTCACCTGCCCTGTCTAAACTGTGTTCTTCTTCCTTGTGGAGATCTCTTAGAGCAAAGACTAAGATGCTAGTAAGTTGCCTCCACTTTAAGACAATTATGTCTTAAAATATTCTCCTCCTCAGTCCTTCTGCAGCCTGGTGTGGTAGGTAGGTAGGCATGCAGTTATTTAATGACACAATAGGAATCTACAGAGCCATCATCCCAACCACAGCCAGGACCTTTACCATGAACTTCAGCCAAACCTGTCCACTCCAATATCCTCTATCCAATATCCTCTCTCACCTCTATATAGAGGAGGGTTTCCTTCAATGCTGGATACATAATCTTTTCTGTTTCTTTTTTTTATTATTTGGTTTTAACCATGTACATTCCTAGAAGGTATTAGTTTGATTTTCATTGTCATAACATTATTTTAAAGCATCAGGCTTTGTGTAATTTTTTAATTATTTTAGTTATTAGTGCACTACTAAGATTGATTCATGTCCTAATGCATCTGTGTTCTCTTTCCTTGTGGAGATCTCTTGGAGCAAATACTAACATGCTAGTGAGTTGCCTCCACTTTCCTTGTGTCCACAGGCTCACAATTATGTCTTAAAATATTCTCCTGCAATGCTGTGTACTAATTGGCCATGTAATAGTCCTTGAGAGTTCACACAGTGTAATACAATAATATTCTCATGGCACTAATCTTTGTACTCCCCTGAAGCAGGCATCTTTCCAGGCTTGTGCCACTCTGAATGGAGGTGCAGTGTGTCCTGGGTGCATGTCCGTGGGTGTCCATTGGCTTGAGGACTCCTCTCTTTCCACAGTCATCCGGGAACTTCCATCCCACCTTCTTCTTCCCATGGAAAAGCTGAAGACCGTCTCAGAAACTTACCCCACAGACAACAGCACAGAATTTGTCTCCAGGGCAAGGAAAAGACACACATTATGGTAAAAATCTGCAAGAAGAACACAGAGCCAGGGTGGCCCGTGAGGAAGGCCCAGCACTTCCCCGACTCCCTCAGGGAGAGCAGCCTGCATGATGTCCTATCTCTGGTCTCCTCCTACTTTGGTAGACTCTGCCTTGGGAAAGCCAGACATCTGCCCCGAACTCTCAAATGTTGAGGAGGAAGCAGACTATGGGGTTCACCTGTTAATTTTACACCGGGGACCAGGAAGGCTTATAAGTTTGAAATGGACAAAGCCAAGTCAAATCAGGCTGAACATGAGTGTTGGGATTAATAATTAGCTGCATTTATATTAATGAAGAAATAAGCAATGGCTGGAGGGACAGGTTATGAATAAGGGGGCTCATCTGAAGTTCTAAAATGCAGATCCAGTGCTGTGAGTAGGCTGTGCTCCAGGCCCAGTACCAGGCTCAGAACCTGTCAAATGCACCTCTGCTCAGGCTTTTCCAGCCCCTGCTCTCAGCACAGAGGCACCAGGGAGCCTGTCCACGTCCTCTCCAAGGCTGACCCCAAGTACTGGTATCAGCTTCTCTTGGTGGAGGCTTGGGAATCAGTATTTTCTAAATCACACCAGGTGATTCCCATGTTCAGAGGAGCAAGGGAGGGATTTGGGGGGGGTGCATAGTGATGATAGCACATAAACAAAAGCAGACAGACCACAAGGTCAGCTGAGTTGGGGGTCAGTGAGCATGTATGAGAAAGTTCTGTACCACAGGTCTCAACTCTCCTGTACTTTAGGTCATTCTAAGACCTGAGACCACCCTAGAGGGGGACTCAGTGAGCCTGAGGGAAAACTGGCATGAGTTGTACCTTAAAGTTCTCAGGGGAGGTTAATACAGCCCAGGCCGAGATCTCTGCAGGCTGTGACCTGGGCCCTACAGACCTAATCAGCTTCATCACCTGCTCTGCCACCCTGACTTCCTTTTGCCCTCAGGTTACTACGTGAAACTACCCACCATGGGAATTCTCCTACCTGCATTGCTCAGCTCCCTCACTGACTGACAGGCACTTCAGATTGAGGCCTGGGGTCTTGTATTTCTGAGTGCCTTGTGCATGGAAAGGGTCTCACAATAAGTGCTTAGCAAATAGTTGCTGACCCATCTTGCTTTACCTTTGGAAATACATCCTCCCTGAGCACAGGATGGCATCTGAGGGAATGTGCCTTGGGGCTGCTGAGAATGAAGACTGTTCACAAGGATAAGACCCATGGGTGGGATGTGTTCCCAGTCAATGTCTGAAGGTATGGACCTTTATTTTTTGATAGTGCTAAGGATGGAACCCAGGGTTTCACTCATGCTAGGCAAGTATTCTACCACTGAGAAACATCCCCAGCCTTGGAGACATCTTTGAGGCTGAGTGAGCAGCAAGTGCAGAGGACTAGGTAGAAGGATTCTCCTGAAGGTGCAAGGTGTAAGCAAAGGAAGTCAGGTTTGTAACCCCCATGGTCCTACAGAGTTGAGGACAATGTACAGGTTGAAAATCACTCTGGGTCAAATGGGATGGGCCAGTCAACAGCCAACACACTAGTGAGGGACCCAGACTATCATAAAGTAGAAACCATTCCTGGGAGGCACCAATTCCATTCACTTAAGTGAGTCCCAAGCCCTCTCTTGACTCCTCTGAAGAAATTCCTATGGCTGACTCCTTTAAATCACTCCATGAGATTCTTCTGTTATCTTGGACAAAATTACTCGTGTTCCAACACCCTTCATCTTCCACACATAGGGCAAGCTCCTTACCCAAGCTGCCCAATACCGCAGCTCCTCCATGGTAGAAAATGATGCCTCCCCTTGAGCAGTGTGACATTGCCTTGGGCTGAAACAGTCTCACAGGGATTGTTCCAAAGTGCAGGTCTGTAATCACCACTTTAGAGTCCTTTTTCTTTAGGAACAATCTGTCCTGTACAAAACGAGCAAAGCAGGGCATGGAGGAAATTCTCAGCTTCTCTAGTATGTTTCCCTGTTGGAGGCAAGAGGAGGAAAATAAAGCAGAGGTGATATTAGGATCAGGAGGGCAGGTCTACCCACCACCACCACCACCGCTAAGGTGTCTCAAGGTTCTCTCCTGCCTCCACATGTATATTTGACTCATTGCATCTCAGTGGGCTCTGGGTTGTGTCCAGGTAGAGAGTTGGGTTATCAGGTTCCTCAGCCACACAGTCTTGATTGCATAATGATATTGTTATGATTTGAATGTTTGCTTGACCCAAAGCTCATGTTGAAATTTCATTGCCATTGTAACAACATTAAGAAACTGTCAGCAGTGATTAGGCAATGCCCTCTCAAGATGCATGCAATCTGCTGTGGAGGGAATAGATTATTTATTCCTGCAATAAGACCCTGAAAAAAGGATGAGTTCAGGCCATGCTTTCTCTCTTGCAAGCACATGCATGCTTACCTTTTTGCCAGGAGCTGTTGCAAAGAACCCATTGCTGGTACCATGCTCCTGTCCTTCCCAGCCTCCCTAATGGCAAGCCAAAAAGTTCCTTTTGTTTATAAATTACGTGCCCTGTGGTACTGTTAGAGCAGCAAATAAAAGACTGAGATTGGACCTCTCAGTCAGTTGGTGGTGGACTCAGATTTGAAGTGATCCATGCCAATGGCAAAACATTCCACCAATTGTCCAGAGACAGGATTTTTTAATCAAATATTCCCAAACCTATTAATCTTTCTCATATGTCATCTAATGTTGTTACCAACCTAACAAGACGGATACCATTGTCCCCCTTTCACAGATGAAAGTGAGGCACAGGAATTTTTGCAAGTGGCCCATAATCACACAGCAAGTAAGAGTTGGTACAAAAATATGTACACTCTGTGGCTGTAGTTGATGCTTCTTACCCTTATATTGCCTCATCTCCTGTGCAGTTGTACTCAGAGATGATCAATGTGAGTAGTTTGACCAATTCCCAGGTGGGGATATGAGGATTACTCAAGTTACCAGCCTCCTACATGAGAAAAAACCTTTTCCCCAATTCTGCTGCAACTGCAGGCAGGTGTTGATCTACTACCACCATCTCACCCCAAAGCCCTGCTCAGAGACCAGCACATAGGGCCATCCTGAAACAGTGGTTGAGTTTTCTTATGATTTCATCAATAAAGAGTACTTATGAGGTTCCTGCCCCTGTTCTTGGAATGCAGTTTAAAGCTAATTACAGTAGCTCCTCCCTCAAGGGACTTACATCTGTGCAGGACAAACACCTGAACTCAGGTAAGTGCATAGACAGAGAAGGATGCTTCACTGAAGAAGGTGTCAGTCCCCACTGAGCCCTTGGTGTTCAAGGACTGATTCTTAGTCCTCAGAAAAGAGCTCACTGATTGTAGTTTGTAATTATTTGATATGCAATGAAGAGAGGGAGGGAGTCAGTGAGGGAAGCAGATGAGGGAGAGAAGAAGGAGGGAGGATCAAAAGGAGGGGGGTGAAGAAGGACAAAAGGAAGCATAGAAGGAAAGAAAGAAGGATGAAGGGAAAGAAATACTGAGGGAAGTATGGATGGAACAAAAGAAGGAAGGATAAAAGAATGAGAGGAGAGAAGGAAGTTGTGGAGAAAATATAGCAAGGAAAAAACAAGGAGAAAGAAAATAAAAGAAAAAGGAGAGATGAAGAGGAGGAAAGAAAGAAGAAAAGGAAGGAGCAAAAGCAAGAGGAAGTAGAGAATGAAGATAGATCAAAGGAAACAAGGGAAAGAGATATACAAAAAGAATACAGGGAAAAGAGAAAGGTGGAAAGGAATAAACACCATGATAGAAGAAAGGATGTAAGGAAGGAGATGAATAAATATGTAAATGAGGACAAAAGGAAAAAAGGAAAGGAGGGAGGGAAGCAGTAAAGATAGGAAAAGAGGGAGAAAGAAAACAGTGGATACAAAAGAGGGTAGCAAATCCTACCTTATCTGTCTTGGGGGAATGTGGAGTGGGAAGGAAAGAAAATGAAAGAGAAGTGGGCAGAGGTACAGAGACAGCACCCCCAACTCATGGTGGGGCCTGAGAGAACACTCACCAAAGTGATCACATATATAAACACGCAATCCAGAATTCTGAACTTGACAGGATGTTCCAAGGTAGAGGGTACATCTCTGGTGAGGAAATGCTTACAGATGGTCCAGATAAGGAGTCCCAGGAGAAAGGTGGGGAGGCACAGTAGCAGCACCAGTAACAGGACAGCCATGGTCTGAGCCCACAAGGAGCTGCTCCCAGAGAAACCAGCCTGGCAAGATGGTGAGAACTGATTATAAGAACTCTGACTCCACCCACACTTTCTAGTCTTGCCAGACAGTGGCCTGACCCTGCCTCTTACAAGTCAGCTAGGCAAAGGGAGCTCAAAGAACAAATTCCCCAAGGAATGCAGTGTCCAGCAAAGCCCAGAGGGAGTTTGGGATGTGTTCTCCCACAGATCAGAAGGGAGTGGGCTCATAAGGTATTTCAGTTCCTGGGGCTCTGAAAAGGCTGTCTCATGTAGGTCACAGAAGGCCTCCTATGCTGAACTTCTGACTGTAGAATGGGAGACAAGCCACAAATCCCACAACAGAATCTGCTTTAGGTGAGCAAAGTAGATCTCATACCCAATGCCATAGTTAGCTGCCTTGTGAGTACATTACAGATGTTCGTGAAGCCTATTTTCCAAAATAGTCCTGATCACTTCTTCCCCTCTTGGAACAAAGCATGTGGGCAGAAGTCACCCCCAAACCAGGCCTTGGAACTATTTTCTGAAAGTAAATGGGTTACTTGAGACTGAGACATGCCTGAGATGGTAGGAATCCTCCCTCTTGGTCCTAGGACCAAGAAACACATGAACCATCTCCAGGGGTCTTTGAATCTATTGGCTGAACTCTGATCTAGCTAGAGGCCCACAGGATGCAATAGGGCTGAATGTGGCAGAAGAAGTTTTATAGAGGATACATTTTCAGTCTGGGGAAAGTTTGATAGGAAGAGAGGTAAACCATTCCTCTCAGTTCCTTAGTTGTTAAATTAAAAGCACAAAATACAAAATTTACCATCATAACCATTTTCAAGTATGCAACACAGAAGTGTTAACTAAATGTACCTTGTTAGGCAACAGGTAGATCTATTGCAAAACTGAAGTGCTATCTATCCTCCTTGAACAACTCCATTTCCAATGGCAAGGCTCTGAAAACAACAGTGCTATTCTAAGGGTCTGAAACTATTTGATCTACTGTCTATGAATGGAATTATGCAACATTTGTGCTTCTGAGACTGGCTTACTCCACTTAGCACACTGTCCTCATGCCTCATCCAACCTGTAACATATGATAAGATTTAATACTATTCAAAGGCTCAGGGTTGGGGATATAGCTCAGTGGCACAAGCACCTGCTTGGCAAGTTCAAGGTCCCAAGTTCAATTCCCAGTACCAAAAAAAATAAAAATTAAAAGGTTCAATAATATTCATTTTATGCATGTACCAAATTTCTACCTTTTGTCCTGTGTGAAGATAGAACTTACAGCCTGCTGCATGTTAGGCACGTGCTCTACCACTGATGTACAGCCACAGAACCTCATTTTGCATACCTATTAAAACCAACGAGACCCTGCCACCATTACAGACTGAGTCTCTGCCCTCCGAGCACCTGCGGCAGGCAGGAGGTCCTCACTCAGAAGCCCCAGAGACTTCTCTGGCTGGGGGGGACGGGGGGGAAACGCATGTAGCCCCTTGCTGTGCTCCCTGTACTTAGTGAGAGAGTGCTCCAAGAGCTGCTGGTCCCGCAGTTCAAGTCAGTGCTTTACTCACACAGCCACTGTTCCCAGCTGAAACTTGCAGAGAGAGCCAGGTATTTCCCATCTACTTCCTGAGGGCAGAGCGGGCGACCCAGGACACCGCCGCCATTACAGACTGAGTCTCTGCCCTCCAGACACCTGCAGCAGACAGGAGGTCCTCACTCAGAAGCCACAGGGACTTCTCTTGCTGGAGGGGGGCGCATGTAGCCACTCCCTGCGTGCCCTGGGCCGAGTGAGCGAGTGCTCCAAGAGCTGCTCTTCCCAAGGTTCGAGTCTGTGCTTTACTTTCACCCAGATCCCCTAGGGGGTCTCAGGCATGGACAGTCTGTCACTGCTGGCCATCTGGCCTGCATCTGGTTTCTGTATGTGTTCTGAACTGACTGGAGACACTGAACCATGTGGTTCACAAACTGTCAACCCTGCAGTTTGTGTCTGGATTTTGCCTGCACCCTGAACTGCCAGGGAACATAGATTCACTGGGCTAGGATTATCACACCAGAGCAACCCAAGTCTGGGCCGGGAATGTGCCCTGAACTGCAAG